TTAAAAAAAAATGTTACATGTATTAATTGCATTTTAATATCATTCCTTATTATAACTATTGAATTGTATATATATTTTAAAAGTTAATAACTTTTGTATTTTTTTATCAATTTTACATATATAATATATCAAATTAATTTTCTTCTGATGGGCTTCGGTTTAACATCCATATTGTATGCATAAAAAATATAATTTATATTTATCTTTATAACAATAATAAAATTACTTTTAATATTAATTAGAAAAATAATATTATTTATCAACTAATATATTTATATTTCAAGTAGTTATATGATATAAGTTATAAAAACTAATATAACATAACACATGTAAGTCATAAGTAACACATATCATTCCAAAATATATAGTAATATATTTTTTTTTGTAAAAAAAGTAAACTAAATTTAATATAGTTTTCTCATTAATTTTAAAATTTAAAAATATTTTTTTAACAAGCACCCGTGTAATACACGGGTGTTGTACTAGTAGTTATATATGGCTACATAAGACGTGTAATGGTTGATGGTTCCATAGCAAACATATACTTTTTGAAAATAAATAAATAATTATAGACTAATACAACACCCGTATATTATATAGGTGATTGTTAAAAAAATTATTATTATATTTTAAAATTAATGATTTTTTAAAAAAATTATTGGGGCTTTTTTACAAAATATATATTATCATATATTTTATAATGACATTTGTTACTTGTGGCTTATATGTGTTATATTATAGTAATTTTTCTAACTTATATCATATAACTACTTGAAACATAAATATTTAAATGATAAATAATTTTATTTTTTAATCAATATTAAAAAATAACTTTTTATTGTTATAATAATAAATATAATTTATTTTATGTATACAATACGGATGTTAAATCAAAACTCATCAATAGATGATTAATTTGATATATTATATATGTACAACAGATAAAAACTACAAAATGTTATTAACTTTTAAAATACGGAGTTTTTCCTATACAAAGCCTGAAAGATAGGTAAACTATCAAATCGATGCCTAAAAGATTTTTTTTCTCAATTCGGGACCTAAATGTTATAAAACTATCAAATTAAGTCCTAAAATTAACAAAACCCATAGCACCATTAAATTGAGAGTTAATTTGATGTTTTAGAACACCAAATCTATTACAAAATAAATAAAAAATATGTAAAAAAAATAAAAAGAAAAAGAAAAATGAAGAAAATTAAGGAAATACGAGATTGTTGGAAAAAAATAATAAAAGTATTACTCTCTTGCTCGGTTTTTTTGCTATCGTCTATTTCTTTTTTTTTTTTTAAATATTATGCAAATGTTTACTTATTATTTTATGTGAGTAAGCATCAATCTTTTTTTTTTTAACTCTCAGTTTAATGGTGTTATGACTTTTGTTAATTCTAGGACTTAATTTGATAGTTTTATAACATTTTAAGTCTCGAATTGAAAAAAAAAAATCTTTCAGACCCCGATTTGATAGTTACCCATCTTTCGGGTCTTATATTGAAAAATTCTTTTAAAATACACTAGTACGTACCCCCGTGCGATGCACAAGACAAAGATATTAAATAAGTTTTTTTTTTT